GATGATCTTGAGGAGTTTGTGGTTGAATTAAAAGAAGAACTCGAGGCCGCCAACAAGTTTTTCGCCAAGCAGGCTCGTGAGGACTGGTCTGCCTGGCTGCACGTAGGCGTCTCTTCGGGCTCGCGGCGAGTCCATCAGATCACCCGAGATCCCACCCCGTGGACCCCGACCACCACGCTTAGCGCCAAAGGTTGCACCGTTTCTGACCCCCTCTCTTTGTTGCGGGCTGAAGGTGCTCGCTTTAGTGCTGCGTGGGGCCAGGGTTCGGGGGTTGAGCCTTCGGGGGAAATCTTGGAGCCGCTTCCTCGTCTCAGCGTCGATGAGATTAGAGCTGCCTCCAAAAGGTATAAGCCTGGTTCTGCCGTGTCCCTGGACGGGTTCCACTGTCGCCATTTTTCGCTCCTGGGAGATCCAGCGCTGGAGTGTCTCAGCATGGTTTTTGCTCTCATTGAAGCCCTGGGTTGCCTGCCGCCCCAGATTTCGGTCGTCCTTCTTGCTCTCCTCTCGAAGCCTGCTGGAGGCTACAGGCCGATTGGGGTGTTCTGCTCCTGGTACAGGGTTTGGGGGCGTCTCCGACGCCCCCTTGCCCTGGCCTGGGAGCAGCAACACCCCAGACGGTACTGGGCCGCTGGCAGACATCGAGGGGCCGCCGACGTCGTGTGGAGACAGGCCGTTCGGTCCGAAACTGGCGTCAAGAGGGGAGATGCCGCCTGCAGTGTCCTCTTCGATCTTCGTAAATTTTACGAACACATCTCCTTGGCCGCCCTGCAAGAGAGATGTGCTCGGCATGGGTTCCCGCCTGTCATTGCTAGGGTGGCTCTTTTTGCCTACCGGTGCGGGCGCTTCCTCAGCTTGGGAGGCATCGTTGAGGGCCCCTTTTTTGTTTTGAGAGGAGTGGTGGCGGGATGCAGCTTCGCCACCACCTTCATCCGTGTTCACGGGATGGAGGGCTATGACAGGATCACTCGCCAGCCCATCCTTGAGCTCGATGTTTACATCGACGATCTTGGCCTCTCGAGCGTTGGTCCCCCCTCGAAGGTCATCGCCTCTGTGGTTGGCTGTGCGCAGCAGTTGAAGGGTGTTGTGGAAGAGGTTCTGGGTTGCAGTTTCGCCCTGGACAAGACCTGTATTGTTGCCTCGTCGCGTGCCGTGGGGGAGCAGGTGTCGTCCCAGTTGGCCGAGCTCTCGACCCAACCCTCGTCTTCTGCCGTCAACTTAGGTGTTGACTACACCGCTGGTCGCGCGCTCAGGGTCGGTGGTCGGTGTGCCAAGCTGAAGTCTAGGCTTGCGGCCGCCTGTAGGCGCACCAAGCGGCTCCGTAGACAGAATAAGGTGCTCAAGAGGGGCGCCATCATCAAGGTTTTGTCGGCTGGCCCCTTGGCGGGCGCCAGCTACGGGAGCGAGATCACGGGGACCTCCGACCATGACCTCCTCCTCCTCCGCAGGAAACTTTTCGGATCGGTTCGTCCTCTCTCGAAGCTTCGTTCGCTCACCACCTCGGCCATCCTCGATTCGGACCCTTGTTGGAGAACCGCGTGCTCTCCCATAATTCGGTGGTCGAAGGAAGTCTGGCTGGCTCAGGTGGGCGAGTTCCCCTGGGCGATCGGTCTCCCAGAGCTCAGGCGAGCTTGGACGAACATTTTTAGCCAGGAAGCGTGTTCCTGGCGCAGTGTGGCTGGCCCCCTCTCTGCCCTGCGTATGTCGCTCTCTCGGATTGGTTGGGTGATGACGGATTTCATGACCATTAGAGACGACCGTGGCTTCGTCATCCCTCTTGGTCTGTTCTCCACTGCCCTTGTCAAAAAATTGTGCAAAGAGGCCTACTTGCGCATGTTGGAGAGGGACTCTGCGGCCAAACGAGGGGTTAAGCACCGGCTGTGTTATGACATTGTCAAAGAAGCTCTTGCCAGCAGCAAGTACAGTGCTCTCGAAAAGGGTAGGATCCGAGCTTTCGCCACTGAAGCCTTCCTCACTAAGGAGCGTGCGCTCCAGCTGGGCTACCAGACGGATGTTGAGTGCCAGTTCTGCGGAGAGCCTGACAATATTTTCCATAGGCTGTGGAAGTGTCAGGGTGATTGTATCGTTGAAAAACGCAACTCCTTGGTCAAGGCAGAAGAAATCGCGGCCGCGCTCGAGGCTGAAGGTAGTGATAGGTCTGTTTTGCTCCCGTTCATCTCAGGGGCTTTCGCCCATCCCGCCGACTCCTGCCCGAAGCCCGCGACGGATGCTGATGATGGTCCTATGGTTGTGTGGCATGACACCGATCAGGTCTCCCCTGTAGGTGGCCCCCTAGACAAGCAGCTCTGGGGGTCCCTCTTTATAGACGGCTCGTGCACCCGGCACCCCATCCGTGAATTAAGTCGGGCCGCGTCTTGCGTGGCCATGGTTGACTCCGCTGGTAGGTGTGTTGCCGAATTCAGAGCCCCTGTCTGGGCGCCCTATCCCCAGACCCCACAGAGTGCTGAGTTGTCGGCCTACACGTGGGCCCACATGCTCGGCATTCCAGGCCACACTTCGGCCCTGTCTGATTGCCTCAATGTTGTAAAGATCGCTGACCTGCCTAAGGCGGCCCATCTTTCTGGTCAGCGCATGTACGCGGGGGCCTTCCTCCAGTGTTACTCCACCGCGTCCTCCCTCCTCCCTGTGGAAAAAGTTGCTGCTCATAAGGACCTTGATGAGCAAGGCATCTCCAGTGAAGAGAGATGGCGTAGGCAAGGCAACTATTGGGCCGATGTCGGTGCTAAGCATGCTGTCGACTTGCATCCCAGCTCGGCCGAAGCCAATGTTGCTACGGACAAGTTAATCAAGGCGGCCCGCTGCACCTTGCGCCTCGCGGCCCGCCTCCTGCCCTTGTGGGACCCCATAGACTTGTCTGGTGTTGAATTGCTTAGGGAGCCCTCGGCTGCCTCAGCGCCTGTGCCACATGTCTGGAGACCCTGGGCTGGAGCGTGGAGGTGCGAAGTTTGTTTGCGCGGCACTCGAGCCCTCGACGAGCCCCCTCCTGGTTCCTGCAGTGGTCGCAGTAAACTTGACGAGGGCCGTCTCACGGCTCTTGAGCATCGTGTTTTAGCGTTTGACTGTTCTGACAGCAGCGTTTTATTCATCTGTGTGCGTTGCCACTGTCACTCCTCGGGCCAGTGCGTTCGCGGTTTGTCTGTGAAATGTGTTGGCCGTCCGACCAAGGCCACTCGGACGGGCTGGAACACGTTGTGCAAACGAGGCCTGCACCCCCAGTACAGCAAGAGGGAGGTCAGGGTCCACACAGGTAACATTATGAGCCTGTTCAGCTCCGTGGATGGAGTCCATGAGCCTGCCGAGGAGGAGGAGGAGGTCCCCACTCCCTCGGTTGAGCCTCCCCCTCCCCCGTCCTCGGAGGTGGAGGAAGCTCGCAGCAAGCGCCAGGCCGTCCTGGCCCAGCGCCTGCTAGAGGCTGCCCGAACAGGCTCCTCTCGGCCCTCATCGGGCTAGTCGGCTCTCCTGGCCACCCTTTTTTCGGCCCAGGTGTCTGCCGTGGCGAGTTTTTCCTCGCCTTTATCCTTTTCTGCCTGCAGGGCTCGTGTTGATTTTTTCGTCTGACACATTTGGCCCTGCTGGCACACATCTGTCCCTTTCCCCCCGCAGTAGAGGGCCAGGCAGAATGTTGCGGTGCAGAGCGTGGAGCTAAAAAAAACTAGCGTTGGCCCGCATGCCTCGCCCTCTCCCGAGGACGCACCCCCGTGCAGAGTAGGACGGGTTCGCACCCCCGAGGCCACACTCCTTCGCCAAATGCGAAAGGTTCGCACCCCCAAGGCCAGTGACATGCGGCAGATGCGCGCTCCCGAAGACAAGATGCCTCCAAGACGGCCCAAGATGTCCCCAAGACTGCCCATTGTGGCTTCAAGACGGCCCAACGGAACCCCGAAACGGCCCTCGTGGGCCTCAAAACTGCACAAGAAGGGCCCGAAAGGCCCTCATGACTGCCTCACAGGAGGCCAAGATAGCCACAAGACGGCCCACACGAGTTCCATCAAGACTCCCCAACTAGTGAAGACGAAAGGTATCACAGGTGACGGTTTCCTCTTCCTCTTCTCCCTCCCCTTCCTCCTGCTCCTCCTCCTTTGCAATATTCTCATCCTCATCCTCATCTTCATCTCCATGCTCCTCCTCCTCCCCCCTCCCCCTCCTCCTCTCCCTCCCCCTCCCCCTCCCTCCTCCTACTTCTCCTCCTCCTCATCATCATCATCATCAGCATCATCAGCATCGTCATCACTAGCATCATCTCAATCATCATCACCATCATCAATATCATGATCCACATCACCATCAAAATCATCACCACCACCATGATCACCACCGTCAACATCAACACCATCACCATCATCACCCTCATCATAACAACCATACTCATAATCACACTCGGCATCATCACCATCAATAGCAGCAGCATCATCAGCATCACCATCAGCAATAACACCAACATCATTATCATCATCACCACCATCACCACCATCAGCATCATCATAACCACCATCCTCATCACACGCATTATCATAGCCCCTTCATCACAAACACCATCACCATTATCATCACCACATGATCACCATCACCACCATCATCATCACCACCACCATTAACAACACTCACATCATCATTACGGCTCTCCGAAACCTGGGGACGCGAGGTGACATTCATGACGGCCTCCCGTGCCCCCTCGAACATTCGCCACCCATAATGCTGGGCTGGCACAGTGGCGGGACTCGCCGCACGGTAACGGATAATCCCTGTCTTCTGGAGCGGGGGGCCGCTTTACTAAACTACGAAAGGATGACCAAGCGTGCCAACATGGAGGAATGGGTGCAAGGAGTAAGGCGAGTGCAACTTCTAAAGTATCTCGAACTGTCGTGGCCTCTTCCAGCGACAATCGCCGCATCTCACGGTGAGAATATGACGTACGAATGGGAATATGACGCTCGAGCTGACCAAATCCCTCATTGTGCTTCACTCGCCTCTTCTTCCCGGGCGGATTCTCCTTGAAGGTTGGCGAGATGAAGAACTGGGCGAATATGTCCAAACCTCGGCCAGGCTGGCGAGGAGAAGGAGGAGGAGGAAGAAGAAGAAGAAACAGAAGAAGAAGGAGAAGAAGAAGAGGATGGGGAGGAGAACCGAGAGTGCTGGTGGTTGGCCGTCCCAATCTTGAGGGCCCCAAAACGGTGCGGTGACAGACCGTGCGGTGATCTCGAAATTCCAAAAGACCTCACCACACGGTCCGTCACAACACGGTTTGGGGACCTTGGAGCTCACAATCGCCAGAGACGTCCTCGGAAAACGACCAAACTTCCCAAATCGTGCAGTCATCCGGAATCCCCATGACTCACCCGACGGTGTGGTCACCGCACCGTTTTGGGACTTAAGACCATCGGCTTGGAACGACCACCACAATGGAACAGGTGCAACGGCGGTGACAATGGCGACGATGATGACGACCACATATGACGACGGCGACGACGGCTACGGCGCAGACGGCGACGACGAGGACTACGACGAGCACGCGTACGATAACAACGAAGCTGGCAGCAGCGACGAAAGTACTGTCGGAGACGCCGACGGCGAAGGTGACGACGATAACGACAGCAATGGCGTTTGCGGCATCGGTGATGATGGCGACCAAGACAGCCACGGCGACAACGACTGGGTAGACAACGATGATGACGGCGCAGACGACGACGCGACGGCGGTGACCGCGGGGGGCTCGACGACGGTAACCAAGCGCCAACAACCGAACTTGAACCTCAACTTCAAGACATCGCTCGTGTATCCGCCTCCGTGCAATCAGCACGAAATGGAGTGCCCAAGGCTCATGCAGTTGTGCGGGTTTCATTCCTTGTAGGATTATTTAAAGGCACGGACCCCTAATTTTCATTCATTCCCGGCGTTGCTTGGGTGTTCCAGGGATATTGCGCATGAGCCTCAACGACGCCCAAATCCCTCGGGACGGCCCAGGAAGGTCGCAACCCAAGAAGGTCCCCAAATCAAGCCTCAAGACCGTCCAACAAGGTCCCAAGACGGCCAAAGACGCCCACAAGACTCCCCAAGAAGGCTCCAAGACGACCCGACAAGCCTCCACGACGCTCCCAGCGGGCTCCAAGAGAGCCCAGAGGGCCCCAAGAGGCACAAGTCATTGATTTCCAATTTGTTTTTGACAGATTTTAGCATTCTCGCATATTCCAGCTTCCAGCGCTCCAAGACGGCCCAAGAGGCCTCCATGAAGGCCTGAAGATGGCCCCAATAGAGGGATCCCGAGCTGAGACTTTAAGCCCTTGCTCCAAAGATGGCCCCTGAGACCGCCAGCATGCCCCCAAGAGGCCCCCAAGGTGGCCCCGGAGCCCTCCAAGACGCCCCAAGAGATCCCAAGAGGCCCCCAAGAGGCTTCAAAAATGCCTCCAAGAGGCTCCCGAGAGGCCTTCCCAAGAGACTTCTTGCCTACGACCCAAGTAAAGTGGCGGGATGGGCCGAAGGTCACTAGCCCTTTTTGGATTGTTTTTTGATTGATTTTCTTTGGCGGAGAGCAGGGTCTGGCAAGAACCCGATCACACCGCTCGGCATCGAGGCGTCGCGGCAACGGCACAAGTCGGCGCGGCGCGGCGGTGTGCATCCGCTCGTCGCTTCCGTGCGCGCGCGAGTGGGCCGCGGCGCCCAACACGGGCGGGAAAACTCGGCGATCGAAAAACGGGTCGGAACGCCCGTGCGCCCCCTCGACGCCGTCCACCTGCTCCCACCCTCCCTCCCTCCGTCCCCCCCTCCCCCCCTCCCCCCCTCCCTCTCGAGTCAGGCGCCAGGGAGCACTCCGGTCACCGCGAGGGCGTCCGCGAGGAAATTGAGGGCGCCCCTCAGGGCGCGGGCGGCCGGGTACGTCATGTCGCGGGGCACGCCCACGCGGTCGCGCAGGTACTCGCAGCACCGCCGCAGCTCCCCCGTGCGGCCGTCGGCGCCCAGCGCCAGCGCCCGCGCCTTCTCGCGGTGCGCCTCCCCCGGCGACGCCCCGTCCAGCAGGATCTCCACCGCCAGGCGCAGCGCCCTGTCGTAGTGCGGCAGCAGCGCCTGCGCCGGCGGCGCCGCGGGGTCCGCGAGCGCCGCGCGGTCGGGCCGGCCGCTGGCCCAGCGGCCCGTGCCGCCGCCGGCGGCCCGCGCCATGAACCGCGCCACGGCATCGCCGTTGCCGACGAGGCGCCACGCCGCCTCGGCGGGCGCGCCAGCCTCGAAGGCCTCCCAGCCAGGCTGCAGCACGTCCGACGGCGCCACCGAGGCGCCCAGGGACGGCAGCGGCAGCCGCCACGCCGCGTCGCCCCCGTCCAGGGCCCTCGCGATGTCGGCGGCGCCTGGGGCGGCAACCCCTGGGCCGTACTGCGGGGGGATGTCCTTGATGTGCGTGTACCAGTCGCTCCTGCTCGCGTGGTAGCTCGGCCGCCGCTCGAAGGCGGTGAACCAAGCGTCGATGCGCGGGTACCTCCCGGAGCCGCGGATGACGACGCCCTTCCAGTAGGGCACGGAGGCGGCCATGCGCTCGACGTGCGAAACGTACTGGAGGTCCACGAAGGACGGGCCGTCCGTGTTGAGGAACCAGGGCCCCGGCGTCTCTCCCAGCTCCGCCTCCACCTGGGCGAGAGCACCGCTGAAATGATCGGCCCCCTCGGGGTCGTCGTGGAAGACGTAGCCGCACCAAGCCGAGAAGAGCCCGCGCTCCAGCCGCAGCAGCCGCTGCACCCGGTCCCACTCGCGCGTGCCCTCGGGGGGCAGCATGCGGCGGTGCCCCTCTGCCTCGGAGAACACCCTGTCGGTCATCGCCATGATCTGCAGGGACTCCGTGTACATGTGCCCGTCGAGCTCCAGGGCCGGCAGAAGCCCGCGCGGAACCTTCTTGAGGAAGTCGGGCGGCTTCTCCCCGTACGACCGCATGTTGATGAGCCTGGTGCGGTAGGGGACCTGCTTCTCCTCGAGCATGATCCACAACTTCTGTCAGCATGGGGGAAGCGGGTCCGGGGGAAAACGGGTCCTGGACCCCGGGGCCTTCCCCCGGGACGAGACCTTCGTCCTGTTGTCTTTTGACGGTCCCGGGGCCAGTGGACGGCCCCGAGGGCCCGCAAATGGGGAAAACCCTCGGGACCCGCTCCCCTCAAGACTTCAGTCGGGCCTGCCCTCCCTACAGGGGGACTTGGACCGAAAAATAAAAACATAGTCAACAATCACCTCAAAGATGCTAAAAAATAGCATTGCAAAACAAGATCGTCCCCATAATATGTTTCACTATTTTTGAACAATGAAACAAAGTCAACGCATACCTCAAAGATGTCAAACAAAATATAGCAAAACAAAAGTCGTCCTCAGACTATTTGTTCACTATGTTTGAATCGTCTTCCTGCAGAAGGGCAGGGCCGACTTGACTCAAGACCCGCTTCCCCCATGGCGGTTCTGGCAGTACGGGCACCACGCCGCGGAGTCGCGGTACAGCGTTACGCGCACCTCGCCCTCGCCCCGCGCGCCGAACAGCCGCAGGGCCGAGGCGCGGTGCGGCAGGCCGCGGCCCGCCGCGCGCTCCGCGTCGTCGGCCGCGAGGCGCGCGCCCACCTCTCGGGTCGGGCGAAAGGGGGGGATAGCAAAGGGGGGGTCTGAGAATCAGCTCACGTAGCTGATTTTCCCGGCGCCGGAGGCGGCCATGTATCGAGGAATGGGCCCCTCGGTGAGGCCGAAACTAGCTGCATGCAGCAAATTTCGTAACCCCCCCTTTCCCAATCCCCCCCTTTCGCCCGGCCCGAACCTCGGTGGCCCGGGCGCGCGCCTCCAGCTCCTTCCAGGTCGCGGGGTCGACGGCGGCCGCCATAGCCGCCCAGAGCACGCAGACAGCCGGGGGGGACCCAAGGGTAATGAAAGGGCAGGGCAGAGAACCAGCTCACGCGGCTGGTTCTCCTGGCGCCTCCTGGCGCTGGGGGGGGCGCCCATGTATCGAAGAGTGGGCCTGGCGGCGGGGCGGAAACCAGCTGCATGCAGCAGATTTCGTACCCCCCCTTTCCCTATCCTACCCTTTCGTCAGGTCCTGGATTGGCGGCGCGCACAAGGGGGGGGAGGGGGGAAAGCTTCTGAGAGGGAGGCTGCTTCTCGGAAGGCGCTGGCCCTGCATCTATGCAGACGAGGTCCGCGCCTTGTGAGACGCAGGGGTGCCTCTAAGAAGCCTGCCCCCCTCACCCTACGGCCGGACCCGGGACAGAAGAACCTCCTCCGACTCCACGACGAGGCCCTTCGCTGGCCGAACCAAAGAACACCTGCGAGAGCACCCCTCCCAGGGAGGCACCACAACATCCGGCAGCACACGAAGAGCACGAGGGGCACCCTCCCCGAACCGACCTCGACCTCATGCCTCGGCCCGGCCGTGCCCCCCCGCCCCCCCTCCTGCGCGTGGCCGAAGGAATTGGCGGCGCGCACAGGGGGGTGGAGGGAGGGGGAGGGCTTCTTAGAAGGAGGCTGCTTCTTAGAAGGCGCCGGCCTTACATCTATAGATACGGCCCGCGCCTTCTAAGAAGCAGGGGTGCTTCTAAGAAGCCCTCCCCCTCCCCCCACCCCCCTCTGCGCGTGGCTGACTCGGTCCGACCGTGCCCCCCCCCTCCTGCGCGTGGCCGAAGGAGAGAGAGGCGAGGCGGCGCGGCGCGGCGCGCCGCGGCCCTTCCGTCGCGCCCCTGCTCGGAGCGGCGGGAGGGCGGGGCCTCGCGCGCGAGGGCCTGGCCCAGTGGCTGCGGGCACGCTCGCGAAGGAGGAGGGGGAGGAGGAGGAGGAGGAGGAGGAGGAGGAGGAGGAGGAGGAGGAGGAGGAGGAGGAGGAGGCGGAGGAGGCGGAGGAGGAGGAGGAGGAGGAGGAGGAGGTGGACAACGAAGAGGTGGGAGGAGGGGAAGGAGGAGGACGAGGACTCGGAGGAGGAGGAGGAGGAGGCGGAGGAGGAGGAGGAGGCGGAGGAGAAGGAGGAGGCGGAGGAGAAGGCTGAGGAGGAGGAGAGCCTTCTCGGGGCCTCGGGGGCCTCCCGGGGCCACCTTTTGGAGCCCCCGTTGGGCCGTCGTGGGGCCGTCCAGGAGCTCTCCTGCGCCATCATTGGCGCAGGGATCTGGCACCAAATGGCGCTCGTGCTCATAGAGAGCTGTCCACGTGCTCGAGTCAGGGGAGCGCTCGCTTACCAAATGGATCCAGGAGGGTGCGTTTGTCCCTATGGGGCTCCGTGTTCGCAGACTCTCGGGGGGGTTCTGAAAGTTCGCTGCCGCTCAGTCGATGCCTGGTATTCGGGGCCGTCCTGGACGGCAGTAAGACCGAGCGAACTAGTTTTGCAACGCCATTCGCCGATCCAAGGAAGACGCACGATTTTCGCCTCTTGGAGGCCTCTTGGGAGTCCGCTGGCGGCTGCCTCGGGGCGTTTTGCCGGCCTCTGGGCCCGTCTTGGAAGCCCCTTGGGGCATTTAGGGGCCATATTGTGCCGACCTGGAGGCTGCCTTGTACCGTCTTGTCCTCTCTTGTCCTCGCCTGCCGTGCCATCTTGGCACGTCTTGTAGACCTGCCTAGCCAAAAGGCGGTCCATCCCACGCCGGTCTCGTCGCCCGCAGTGACTCGGAGGGATCCGCTCGCCTTGTTAGGGGAAGCTTCTCCCCTCGGTCTGGGAGGAGCGCCCACCGCGAAAGGAATACCGACATGTGAGGCTACAACGACGGTCGCCTCGAGGGTCCAAGAACGGTTACAACATGACACACAATAACGAAGACGACCAACGCAATTCGGATTCAGACCAGGACGCAGCACGATAGATGCTATCACTATCGCCCACCGCACGTTCGACGCAACGCAATCGTCGAAGGAACCTGGGTTTGTGTTAATTTTACTCGACTGGGCTAAGATTTTCGACAAGACAAAGCACGACACGATGTTTAAAACTTTGACGCGTGTTAGTGTTCTGGAACCCATGCTTGCGTGTATTACGTCGATGTATCGAACATGAAAATTACTGTTGAAAGACGCGGCCGGCAAGTCCACAACGTATCATACAGCAGCGGACAGGAATAGCGCAAGGAGGCCCACGTTGACCTTGTGTTGATTCTGGTTCAAACAAATGTAAACAACCTGTACATCGAGCTGGGCATAAATATTGTGAAGCCAGACTACTCTGTATGCCACGACGTGATGTACGCGGGCGATGCCATGCTCGTGAGCGGAAGCGCTATGACTGTTTAATTTCTCTTGGACCTCATCATTGTAATGGGCAGCCAGCACACGTTTGCTCCTCACTGGGGCAAGGCAATGGTGATGAGGATCAACGACGGCGGCTTGGTATTGGACACTCCGTTACAGAGAATAAAACACGGACGTCAAACAGTGTATCTGGGCGGGCTCCTGCACATCAATGCTGACAGTACGTCGGCAGATACGAGAAGGCTGGGGGAAACAAACACGGAGGTATTCAGAACGTTGACGACATCTTGGGGCCATGCAGGTATGTCAAAATCCCGAACTCATCACTTATATGAAGCCAAAACTGTGCCAAACGTACTGTGCATTCAAGAGTTTTTGTGATTGTTACAGGCGGGCTGGCAAAAACTAGACGATGTCCGAACATCGTGTTTACGGAAACCATTGGGAAACTAACGCTCGCTTTACTCCTGGGTGTCCAACGCAACAGTTATGTATACAGCGCTGGGGGATCGTCTGAATAAGGCGCTGCGCACAAGGCAGACGCAATCGTATGACAGAATATGTTCGTTGCCACGCTGCATATTTTTGATATCGCTGGTGTGTGAGCCTGGAAATAATGCATCACGGCAGTGGCATCAGATTCGGAGACGCGGCCGCCCAAAATTGCAGTGGGCCCACTCCGTATAAACATGTCGGCTTGTAATTGGCAAATCTGTGGGGTGCGCGCGTTGGAGAAATAGCTCCCCTGCTCGGGCGAATCGCGGGGTGGCGCCCTCCAGATTCAAAATCAACGGCGGCAGCGCCGGTGATCAACGTCGACGCCCAGCCGCCAGCGGGAAGGCGACAGACAGCACAGATTGGGGGAGGGGAAAGGGGCGGGAGGCAAAGGCGGCAGAAGAAGGGACCGTAAACCAGGCTGACACCTGGTCGACGTGAAAAAGAACTGCTGTCAGCGCTCGCCCCCGCAATTTCCGTGTTCTTTTCTGTCGAACCGATGCGCTTCCTTTGCCCTGGCCGCATCCAGGGGGGCGCCAGGTGCCTCGCGGGCCCGCGAGCAAGGCGGGCTGGACGAAAGGGCGGCGTAGTCAAACGGGGATTTGCCCAACAGCTTACATTGCTGATTTTCCGAACGCCCCCTGGCGCCGAAAGCGGCCATGAATCGAGGACTGACCCTTTGGCGGGGCGACCGAAACCAGCTACGCGAAGCAAGTCCCACCAGCCCTCTGGGCGTCGGCGGTTTAGGGGAGTTTCGTCTTCCACCCCTCCTTCTTCCCCTTCGGGGAGGGGTTTACCCCTCCCCCTACCCCTCCCCGTGGACCTGGACAGGGGGTCTCGCGAGGTGTCGGAGCGTCAAAATCGGCTTCGGCGAGGAAGCCACAATCATTTGTTTTACATTGGTTTTGGCCCATTTTGGACTCCTGAGGGGGGGGCCCTAATTAGTCACCCCCCCTCCCGTGATCGATCTCGCCCAAGATGGCCCAAAGATGGCCCCCAAGGCTCCCAAGGGTGCTCCAAGGGGCCCCAAGAGGTGGCCAGGAAGCCCCAAGAAGCCCCCAGCATGCCCCCAAGAGGCTCCCAAGAGACCCCCAAGACGCCCCAAGACACACCCCAGAGGCACCCAAGATGCTCCAAGAGGCCTCGGCGAGAATGCCACATCATTGATTTCACCTAGGTTTCAGCCACGTGTTGGCCTCTGGGGGGGGGGACTGATTCAGATGACTCCAAGAGCGCCTGGGAGAGCCCAAGATGACCTCCAAGATGGCTCAAGATATCCCAAGATGTCTCAGAATGGCTCCCACGATGCTCCAAGATGCCCCAATACCGCTCTAAGACGACTCCCAGTGGCCAAAGACCTCCCCCAGGAGGCCCCGAAGAGGCCAAAACCTTAGAACATTATATGTGTTTGGCTGTCTCGCCTTTTCGCTTCCGATGGCCATCCGAGACCTCAAGATGGCCCCAAGATGGCCCACGAGGGCTCCAAGAGAGGCTCCAGAGAGCCCCACGACGGCCCCAAGAGCGCCTAAGAGCGCTCCAAGAGCGCCCCAAGGGCGCCCCAAAAGGTGATTATTTGGGCCCCGGGGGGGCAAGGCTAACTAATGCTCGCTTCTTGTTTGATCGATGTCCCAAGGCCCCCAAAAACGCTTCAAAAGGGCCCCTACAGGCGCCCAGGAGGCCCCAACAGGCGCCCAAGAGGCCTCCAAGACGCTCCCAAGAGACCCCCAAGGGGCCCCAAGAAGCTCTCCGAGGCACCCAAGACGCTCCAGGAGGCCTCCACTGGGGGACCCTTCCTCTATGTGTTGCCCACTTCCCTGATCGAGGCAATTCCTCTTGGCATCGTTTCTGGATGGGCTGGTGGGGTTACTTTTTTTGTCGCGGGCGGGCGCGGAATCACAGTCGCCGAGCTGAAAAGGTCCGGGCCACGGGCCTGTCAAATTAGCAACGCGCGAGCCTAAAGCTGGTGGGGTTACGCGAGACGTCTAGAATTTCGCAACCCCCCCTTTCCTTCCGCAGCCGTTCGTCCGACCCGAGCAAGCCCCTCTGTCGTGGTCTCTCTGTAGTCGTCGGCGACGACGACCACAACGACAACGACGACGACAACGACGACGACGACGACGAGGACGAAAACGAGGACGAGGACGATGATGAGGAGGACGAGGACGAGGACGGTGACGACGACGACGGACGGACGGCGGATGGCGACGACGCACACCGCGGATGCCCCATGGGGGCTATGGGGGGGGGCGAGCTGCGCAGGCCCGCGGCGACGACGACGACGAAGACGGCGAGTACGAATACGACGGCGACGATGACAAGGGCGACGACGACGACAAACGACGACAACAACGACGACGACGACGGCGACGACGCGTGGCTCCATCTCGAGGGCCTTGCCAATCAACGCGAGAACATGCCCCTTACAATGTTCCAGCGGACCATCCATCCGCACGCACTTGATGGCACCCCTGCTCGCCGGCATTCGCCTCCGTCCACTGGCTCTCCTGCTTATTACGCTCTTCTTCAGCTATTAAAGCACAGGAACTTCGAATTTCCTCTTTGCACCCGTTGCAGGTGCGAGGCGGCCGATGATGATGGTATCCTCCGCCGCAGGCCTGGACTCGGGCCAAGAATGGCATGCAGGCTGCCATACCATCTGTTCGACCATCGAACACCTTCGCCCCATCCCCAACGACAGCCTCCCCAGCCCGTGCTCCACGCATGGCCGAACGACTATTGTAGCTGGCTGCCAGAAGAACAGCTTGCTTAGGGATCATATTTGACCCAAGCTGTCAATATTGCTGCTGGTGCTGGTGCTGATAATGGTAACGGTGAGGGTGGTGATGCTGATGCTGACGCGGATGCTGCTGATGATGATGGCGATGAGAGTGAAAAGCAGAAGAAGAAACGATGGAGGATGGGGTGAGGAGAAGAAACAACAACAAGATGTGGCGGAATCGCCTTTCTCGATGCCGTCGTTATTAATCTCGTTGAAGTACACCGTTTCCTGCCGCACGCAAATACGCCAGCTCTCAGCGGGTAGCTAATTCACTGAAAGCCCAAGAGCAACGCCAGAAGGGGATGCGGGTGAGCACCATGGGTGGAACCGACAAAAGCAAACCTCCCCCTCCTTCTCACATCGTCCTCGTCTAACAACGCCTCCACCTCATCTTCTTCGTCCTCGTCCCTGTTTCCCCCCTCCTCTCTCTGCTTCCACCCCATCCCTCCTCATCCTCTCCTGCGGCGTCCTCTCCTCCTCCGCCTCCTCCGCCTCCTTCTCCTCCCCTCTCGCATCGCCATCGGGCATCCCCTGTCCGCGCCGCCGGCCTGCCTCGCGCGCCGGGCACGCCGCGGGCGGAAAACGAAGGCCTCCCGGACCAACGGGTCCTCTGGGGGGGAATGGGAAGCCACCTGTCCGTCCCACATCCCGAGGCGCCATCAAGGGAAGGGGGAGCGGACGTGGCAGGGAGAGGCCCGCTCCTCGTCCCTGCAAGGCGTTTGGTGTAGACGTGGTATATTGTCCTTGCTGCGGTGCTTCTCGTACCCTTGTCCACAACGCTGTGCCAGCCGTTGATGTCATGCCAACACCATGTTGCACAAATGGCTTCACCTTGCGGCTTCCGCCGGATTGTAGCTTTGCTTGCCGTGGATTCTTAGCCGTTTTTGCAGCGGGCCGTAGTCTACAGGGCGTCGATCTGTATTGCTACGCAAGCGACGCGCTTCTTGCCGAGTTTCGCCTCGACAATATCACCTACTGTGATCGGTCGCTTGGTCTCCTTGGGCCCCCGACTAGGACGGTACCCTTGTCGTTGCCGAACTTCCCGACAGCCATCTCTTATACCACTTCGCTGATGTTCTGGAGTGGGCCCGTGCCCTGTTCTACTTGTTCCTGCTGCTCCAGTAGCAGCCGGAGATGTGCCGTCGCGTGCTCCCCCCGCAAGCCATAATTCTTGAGCCAAAGCTTGTGGCTCCGACTGTAGATGCGGTCGTGGACGGCCCAGTCGAGGTCAGCAGGAGACCCTCGTAGCCTCGCAGCTCAGCTGGAGGTCCTCACAGCTCTGTGCGAGGCCCTTGTAGCCCAGCTTGTGGTCCTCGTTGTTCAGCTGGTGACCTCAGTCGCTCAGATGGAGGCTCTCGTCGTTCAGCCTGTGATGCTCAGCTGGTGACCCCAGTCGTTCAGATGGGGGCTCTCGTCGTTCAGCCTGTGACCCCGGTAGCTCCGCTGGTGGCTCTCGTAGCTCCGCTGGCAACTCTTGCGGTTGGTGGCTCTCGGAACTCTGCATGCGGCCCTCGCAGCCCAGTTTGCTGCCTCCGAAGCAGAGCAAATGATTCGCGTAGCTGTGCTGGACGCTCTCGAGGCTCTTCTCGTGTCTCTTGTAATTCAAATGTTGACGCTCGCAGCTCTGCTCGCGGCTCTCGCTGCTCAGCTTGTGGCCCTCGTTGTTCAGCGGGTGACCCCAGCAGCTCAGGTGAAGGCTCTCGTAAGTCAGCATGTGGCCCTGGTGCTTGCCAGGAATGCCTCGTGCCAGATAAATGAATAAGGAGGAGGAGGAGGAGGAGGAGGAGGAGGAGGAGGAGGAGGAGGAGATGGCGGAGGAGGAGGAGGAGGAGGAGGAGGAGGAGGAGGAGGAGGAGGAGGAGGAGGAGGAGGAGGGGGGGCAGGAGGAGGAGGAGGAGGAGGAGGAGGAGGAGGAGGAGAAGGAGAAGGAGAAGGAGGAGGAAGGGCCGCTCCAGGCGCACGTGCTGGGAACGGCCAGGAAAGAGAGCGCGGAGTACGCTGCGAACTCATGCAGCTCTCCGCACTCCGCATGAGCGTCCAAAGCGCGCCTGCGCGTGTGATGGGGTCTCCTGGGAAGCTCCCGCTCGCTCGGCGCGACCGGGCATCGACAAAGAAGGCAGGCTCCTGCACGGAGCGGAGAGACCGGCGCCAAGCAGGGCCGCCCGGGGTGCCCTCGGAGCTCGCCAGCGGCGTGACCGGGGCGGCATCTGCGCTCGGACCCCGCAGTGAGCGACCGCCTCCGCCTGTGGCCCGCATCCGCCGCGCCGCCCTCTGGCCCACGCCCGCGGTCGGCGACCCCGGCACCGCGGCCCTCCCGAGCTGGGCGCACTCTCTCTGCCGGAGGTGGAAGATGGGCGGGAGGGCGGCAGGACTCCACTGAGCCTCCATCTGGGCGGCAGGTCCGTCCTGCGAGCGCGGCCGAAGCCCGGGCCCCGGGCTCGGGCCGAGAGGGAGGGGAGCTGTGCGGTGGGAAGCCGTGGAGCACCGCCACGGCGGACTGGGCCGTGGAGCGGCCCCACGACCGCGCGGGCGCTGCCCCGGCGGAGCGGGCCGTGCAGAGGCGCGCCCGCCCCTGCGTGCCAGGGCTCGAGTTAAACAGTGTTTTCCGTTTTCGTTTTGTTCTCGTCATCCCTAGTTCTGTCTTCGTTCCACATTTGCTGCAACACGAAGTCAAAACGAAAACGGTCCACGAAATTGCCAAAACACCGTTAAGCTCGAGCCCGCCCCTTCGCGCATGGGGCGTCCCAGGCCGCCGCTGCGAGGGCAGTCCTGCAGCAGCTGCACCCGGGGAGGGCGGCGGTGGCAGGCCGCGGGGCCGCTGCCGAGGTGCCAGCAGGGGGCAGTGCCTGGCAGGTGGGCGGGCCTCCCGATAGGGGGCTCCGAGCAGGCAGCACCGCCAGTGCCCGCCGCAGCAGGACAAGCTGCTGCTCCTGGGGCCATCCGCTCCTTCGCCACGCACATGGGAACTTTAGCTGGGGCCAACTCCAGGGGAGCGGGCGCCAGCTCCACGGTCCGCACCAGCGCCAAACCGCGGCAGCATGGCGAGCATCTCCGTCGAGCACCTGGGCGCTCACAGGGGGGCCCTCTCGTGAGGAGGTCTGCACCAGCGCCCACCCGCTGAGGGCAATCCAAGGCCGTGGGTCACGGTGCTCTGCCGCACGACGGCCCAGCGCAGCGCGTCCAAAATCTACACCGCCAATGCCCAATACTTCTTCACGGGGAGCCCAAGCGCCTGGTCAGCACCTGGCCTCCACATGAGGACGCAACTCCCCTGCGCCACCAGAACAACCTCAATGAAGGCGGCCATAATTGTGCCACGGTCTCCTTCGACGATGGGTGGCGCTACAAACTGTGGACGCACTGGACGCACCAGCGCATCTAGTCGTCCATGTCGTTGCCTTTTCCACCCCCAGCAATGCATCCATCAGCGCATCACTCATTCGGCGGCTCGCCAGACGGCGGGTGCGGTCTTCAATCCCACGCCGCGCAAGAAGAGCACGCGCCCTCGGACTGTCGCGACCGTACCCCTGTTCCCCCGCGGACCAGTTTGTTCGGGATGTTGATCACTTGCTCATCATAATCATCCTCATCGGAGATCGTATCCGGTTCATTGTCTATCGCAGGGATCGTGCCAGTGAAGACAAACATATGTCCTCCTTCCCCGTGCGTGCCACTTTGAGGTAACCGCAGAGATCCAATCCAAACGTGCCGCCCAAATGCCCTCGGAAAGAAGGTGCATAATGAGGCTGAAAAGCATGAGGCTTATAAACACTTGCATCGGGATCAATGCAGGAAGTCTGTTTTGTCTTTCGTCTACTTCGTGACCTGCTAGGCTGGGTTGCCGAGGAGGAGGAGGAGGAGGAGGAGGAGGAGGAGGACGAGGAGGAGGAGGCGGAGGAGGCGGAGGCGGAGGCGGAGGAGGAGGAGGAGCAGACCGCAACCCCACGGCTCCTGGGGCGCTCGGGTGCTGGCCATTCTCGCCAAAGGGCGTCCCTCCATCAACAAGCAATGGCACAGCCTTGTTCAGTCTTCTGTTGCCTCCGAGGCCCCGGTCCCGGGAGTCTGTGGGAGGGCGACGGGAGTGTGGGGAAGGGGGAGAGCGGGCGCGACCGGGGCGAGCCGAGGGGGCGAGCCAGGGGGTTGGGGGAGGAGGAGGGGGGGTGCTGGAAGGGACGGGGGAGGGGCGAGGAGGGGGAGGGGGCGAGCAGGCGGGGGGAGGGGGGGCGCGGAGGGGGCGGGGGGGACGGGGCGGTGCGCTTTCCGTGGGGGGGTTAGGGAGGGGGGGGGTGCCGGAGCGGGCGACGGCTCGGCGGGGTCTGGTGTTGGCGTGCGCCGCCTGGCTGCCCCTGGAGACGGTGGCGCAAGCGGCAGTCGGGCGCCACCCTCCTCCTCCCCCTCCTCCTCCTCCTCCTCCTCCTCCTCCTCCTCCTCCTCCTCCTCCTCCTCCTCCTTCGCGCGATCCAAACGGCTGCGGTCGAGAGGGGGGGGAACGAGGGAGGCTATGCACCGAACTGTCAGTGGGGGGCGCAAGAGGCAGCAGGCGCCACCCACGCACGCTGGCGTGGTGGCGCAAGCGGCCTCGAGGCGTGTCGGACTCACGACGCTGCGCTCCGGAGTTGTCGAGGAGGAGGCGGACGAGGATGGAGAGGGCGAGAAAGAGAGGGGGCGGGAGGGGGGAGGAGAAAAGAGAGGGAAAAAGGAACTGGCCAGATGTTCGAGGCGCATCCAACTGCGGAAACACACTGGGAGTCCGCACGCGCCACCGAAAATTTCTACATACCTTGATCGTCATCCAGAGAAATGCGAAAACAACGGCAACCGCCGCCCATCTTGGGTCATACCCGGGGGTGGGGCGGCGGTTGCACTCTTTTTCTGGACTTCGGACCCCAATCCTCGAGGAGAGGCCGAGGAGCTCCGTCCCCCTCGTGGTCCTCCCCTTTCCTTCTCCACCTCCCTGTCCACTTCGTAAACTCCGTCGGAAGGTGTTTCTCCGCCGGTCACTCCTCGTCGGAGGGGGTACCCTGTTCCATATCGTCGTCGTCGTCCTCGCCCTCCTCCTCCTCCTCCTCCACCTTCCTCCTCCTCCTCCTCCACCTGCCGCCATCTCCTCCTCCTCCACCTTCCTCCTCCTCCTCCTCCTCCTCCTCCTCCTCCTCCTCCTCCTCCTCCTCCTCCTCCTCCTCCCCCTCCCCCTCCCCCTCCCCCTCCTCCTCCTCTCCCCTCCTCCTCCTCCTCCTCCTCCTCCTCTCTCCTCCTCCTCCTCCTCCTCCTCCTCCTCCTTCCTCCTCCTCCTCCTCCTCCTCCTCCTCCTCCTCTCCTCCCCGTCCTCCTCCTCCCCTTCCCGAGAGGCCTCGACCCCCGAGGCAGCGGGAAAAAGAAGGGCGGCGGCGGCGGCGGCGGCGGGGCCGCCGCCCCGCGGCGGCGTCCGCGCCTCGGCCGCGGTGTAGGCGTTGTGCTTGCCTCCGTACAGGGCCAACGTCGACGAGAAGGCCTGCGGGCACCAGGAGGAGGAGGAGGAGGAGGAGGAGGACGAGAAGGAGGAGGAGGGGATGAGGAGGAGGAGGAGGAGGAGGAGGAGGAGGAGGAGGAGGAGGGGGACGGGGAGGGGGAGGGGGAGGAGGAGGAGGAGGAGGAGGAGGAGGAGGAGCAGGAGGAGGAGGAGGAGGAGGAGGAGGAGGAGGAGGACTTTCCAAGGGCTTTCCCGATCAGACGGTGTCTGGATTGGTGGGGCTCTCAGGAGGACTTCATTTGAGTGGCCTCCCTTGAAAGACGCGAGACATAACCCAACTCCCCATTTTTGAGGGAGGTGAGCAAACTTCCGAGAGGCCTCTGAGGTGTCCTCTGCCCTCCAAAGCCCGACACCCGCACCTTATGCAGATCCAGTACGGCTCGTGGAAAGCGAGCTCGTGGGATTCGTGTCCGCTCCTGGTCCCCAGGGCGAGCTGGGTGGGGCGCGGCTGGTTGGAGGGCGGGCCAGGGCACTCACGGGAAATCCATTCATTCATGACTTGCTTACATGCTAATTTACTGACCGACGAGCGACAATCTAAACAACACCAGCGCGCCTGCATGTTACAGAGAGTGTGAGACGACTTGAGCTGGGCGGCCTGGAGGGCGTCGGGACGAGAACGTTTCTCGATTCTCCGAACAGTCCTGGCCGAGGGCACTCTGTTTTCATGCTCGAACGCATTTAAAGTGGCACGAATTATCCTGGCACGAACTAAGGCGGAGACGGCGACAGCCCACTTATAGCACGAAAGGCGGGCAGGCGAGATCTGGTGTTGCTCAGCTCCCTTTCTCGCAAGCTCGTCCGCCGCTTCGTTACCACACCAGGCATAGAAAGGTACTCCTTTTCTCATGCTCTCCTCGAGGCTGAGGTGACTGTTCATCCAGAAAACTTCCACCCTGCTGTCGCCTCTGTCATTCAAGGCCGCTCCTATTTCCGTCCACAGATCTCCCATCGAGCTCCAACTGGCTGGGCGAGTGTGGCGACCTTTCATCCATCCTTTAAACAAGACTTCTGAATCCGTCCAGTAGTGCAACTGACCTCTTGTGTTCAACATAGCAGAAACGAATGCCGAGAACTCAGCGCGATTATTTGTTTGACGGTGGCCAGCGAGCGGGGCGAATGCACCTCCTCTGACACTCGGGAGGTCGGGGGACGAGACATCCAAGGCCACCCATCCCCAGCCGCACCTGCGGTAGCGGGCGTCGTCAGACTCGTCGCCGCCGCTGCCGTCTCCGCAGGTGATGAGGGGCCGGCCCCAGGGGGCCTCGATGGGGGCCCTGTCCAGCTCGCCGAACCTCTCCTCAGTGTAGGGCGTCTCGCACGGCGGCGGCGTCGTCCATGAAGTTGGAGGCAAGCCCCGCAGCCAGAAGCACGGAGTGTGCTCCGGCGCCATGGTGACCAGGTGCTCGGACTTCTCAAAGGCAGGGTGATTCACTCTGTCCGAGCACTGTCCCCATATGCGGTGGAGGTCGTCAGCTCTCGCTCCGCAGCTGCAGTTGGCCGTGCCCGCGAGGTCGCCGTAGAGGTCGAACCTGCGTGCAGGCGTCCAGGTGCCCGCCGTCATGGCGGTGAGCAGGGCGTTGGCCTCTGGGAGCCTGCCCTGCTTCCTCAGCCTGGCCAGGTGCCGCCTCGCGTCGCTGGTGTCGACTCCGTCCTCCATGCCCTTGCCGTTGTGGTGGGCTGCCGCCTTCTGCCACAAGGCCTTCTCGATGTCCGCGATGATGGCATCGATGATGGTGGAGGGGTCTTTTTCAGCTGCGTCTTCCGCCATTTCCCAATCGTCACCACGCGGATCTCTCCAGCGTGTGGCAAGCTTGGGGTCCCAGTTGGCCTCCCACAAGGTCAGGATCAGGGAACCTATGACTCCACGCCTCTGTCGCCACCGATGCTGCTTCGGGGCAATCTTGAGTCTGGCGTAAATCTTGCCCCAGGCTCTGGCGATCGTCTTCCTCAGGTCTGGGCGGTGCGCGTAGAGGTCAAACCACGCGCGCAGCTGTGCCCGAGGGAACTCGAGGGCGGGGTCCTTGCCGACCAAGCTGAGGAAAGACGTGGTGCATCGTCCTGGTCTGGCTCTAGAGATCCCTGACATGTAGCGTCGGCGCGCCTGTGTAATTGCTGAAGGGGGTTCACCATGTGCCTTTGCCCCGTACAAGAGCGCGGGCATTGCCCCTTGGTTCAGCATATGAAATCTCTTCTCTCGCCTCAGTCTCCGCAACTTTCTGCCCAATGTCTCCATGCGTGAAAATGCTTTCTTTCTTCTTGCCGTGTGAGTAGCCCTGCGGGTAACTCCTTTTGAAGATCTATCTATGCCAAGATCCCGAGCTTCTCCAGCTGGGGTAATATCCACTCCGACTTTCTTCAACTTTGATGTGATCCGCTTTGTCATCTTCCAATCAGAACTGAAAATAACACTCTTGTCTGCGAGCTCCAGGCCTTCTCGCTTCAGGCTGTGGGCTAGCTTCATCGTCGTCGTAACTATGATGCCTTCGACCGCCGCGGGGCTGCCGTAGGCCGAGGTGCTGATGTCATCGAACCAGGCCCTTGGCATCGCTCTAGGCTCTGCCCTCGTGACGGTCTCCAGCACCCTGTACACCACTGCTCGCGCCAGGTTGTTGGCGTGGCGCGAGCCCGCCAGGAGGGACACGTCCGCCTGGCACGCGAGCCCGTAGGCTCCTTGTTGTCTCAAAATTCGAGGGACACAATGTATCTGCAGCTCGAGCGCCAGTATCCTCTTGGGGAAGTTGAGGTTCACGCACGCCGATGCCACAGACTCCGGCACGAGAGAATCGTAACATCTGGCGATGTCAGCGAGGCTCACTGCCGAGGACATGGCAAGAGCGTGAGCTGCCTCATCCTGGAGTGCCCTAGCCAGGGCCTCCCGTAAGCAGGATGACCCTTTTAGGGCTGAGTCCCAGTGCCGCGATGCTGAGGTGACCCAATCCTCCACCTGCGGGCGGGTCAGCATCTGCCAGCAGCGGATGAGCCACGCGATGAGGGCCAAGGCCCTGTCGCCCGACTTCTTGGGCTCGAGCATGATGATGGCCTGGAGCAGCTGGTACGGCCAGCACTGCAAGGCCTCCACGGAATTGATCAGATCCACGAACGCCTGCCGCGCAGGCGTGGGCAGGCGGCGCACATCAGAGGCCACCAGCCGATCGACGCCCCTGCCCCTGTCGGGCTGGAGACGGAGGGCCTGGTCAAAGTGTTGAAGGGACCAGCAGGGGCAGGGCTCAGCCCGTGCCTGGTCACGAATTCGAACCAAAACGGCTACGGTGTCAGTTCTGTTAACTGTTTCCGCAGCCCAAAGATCTTCAAACACCTTGGTTTTAGCGTCTACTATTTCGAGAGGCGAAGTGGCCTTACACCTACCTAGCACAAACTCGTCTTCAAACCTGGGAGGGGGTTTCGTGAGACGGTGTAACTTGCCTACTGGGGCTCTCACAGGGTCTGCCAGCCAATCGGCCCATTCACGCAGTTCCTTTTCGAGCTCTTGCCTGCGGGCGCGGGAGGACTCTTCAGCCGCCTGGAGGGCCATGCCCTGGAGCGTCTGCTGCCCAACATTGCTGATGTTCGACAGTCGCTGCTGCCACAAGTGCCGATGGAACTGCGCATTCACTGAAGGCCTCGATCCAGCCGAGGGGACCCCCTCCTGGGACAGACGCCTGGCTATGTTACAAAGCTCAGCTTGCTGCTGCTCCCCTTTCTTTCTGCCTACGAGAGTGCAATGCAAGTTAAGTGTGTTGGCTACACGCGACCACCAGCCAGCCTCGAAACTGTGGTAGCGTGGGCGTCTAAGGCCACGCTCTCTAACAACTGAGGTCCTATATTGGTAAATGTGGGCCCTCCCAGTGTAGCGAGCGGCGTCGGCATCTGGAATGCCGTAAGCCCTGATATAGAACGCTTCCGTTTGCTGAACGAGGGCCCCATACTTCCGACCTAGCGCCAGCGAGCTCTGAGGGCAGACCTGGAACGCTGGGCAGGCAGCAATGTGGTCTGGCACAGGCTCGTCGAGCGGAGAGACTTCCGTGGCGACCTCCAGCCACAAGTCTTCTAACGATTCGGTCGGGGGGCCCTCGGAAGCTCTCGGTGAGACGTCAGCTGTGGTGTCAGCTGGGCTGGGAGTGGCCGCCTCCCCAATGTTGTGTGGGGCTGGCGGTTCGGGCTCCATCATTAAATCGGCTCCTGGTGGGTCGGGGGGCTCGTCGGGGCCATCCAGGCCCTCCCAGCCATCCAGGCCGTCGAGCTCCTCGAAGGGGTCCGCCTCTGAGGAATCCAAGCCCACGAGACGGGGGCCCCCAGCAACTCTCGGCGAAGCGCAGCCCGCAGGCCCCGAGGGCGCCCCGACCTCAGAGGCCGACTCAGACTGCTGGGCCGAATTACCTAGGGCCAAACCTGAGTCACCAGGAAAGTGCGACCACCCCTTAGGCCCCAGAGCTTCCCAACGTCGGTTTGCAAGGTCCTGGTCCTTTTTCTCACGATCAGCGAGGATCGAGGCACGAGAGGGGGCGGCGGTGGCGGTGGCGGCAGCAGGCGAGGGACCCTTTTCCTTCAGGTGTCGCTGCCTCTTGCTGTCGGGGTTCGGCTTTGTCCCCCTCCGCACAGGATGCTGGAAAGGAATTGGCATGACTAAGCTGCGCGTCAAAGCTGGCACTACACTCGCCTTGATAGTTAGGACCTGACCGACGTGGGGCTTCCAAGGGGCCGAGACCGTACGGAGGCTCTCAAAGTAGGGGATCGCATCGTGACTCATCAGCACATAATCAATGAGCGATGGCTGGGCGTCCGCCTTGAAACACGTGAAACCGTCTGGTATGGTGACAATCTGTGCTCCTAGCCTCTGAGGCCAGCCTGACTTCCAAAATTGCTCTGGAGACGCGTTCATATCTCCAGCCACTATCCAGGGGAGCTTACATGACCTAAGGAACGCCCCCATGGACGACAAAGTAGCAGCATTGTTCCCATTGAAACTGTTCGTACCCTCT